ACTTTATTACCTTAAAGGTCTTTTCCAACCCGGTTGACTCTATGATTCTATGCCATGCCAAGGTGTAGCCTCAAATGTGTCCCTTTTCACACCCCAAAATCACTCCGTTACCCTGTGTATAGGAGAAAACACACCTCATTTCTCCCTTAGAGCTCAAAGCAGGAGCTTAGGGTAGGACCCAGCTCCCGATTTGTGGCTGGTTTCTGTTTTCTGCTCCATAGGCACCTCCCTGAGCACTCTACACTCCAATGCTGCCTGCGCTAGGAACACGCAGCTCTGGCCACACTGCCCAGCCCCAGCTCTCATACCCAACACTAACACACTCCATATAATAAACCTCCTCTTCCAAGGGGTGCTGATAAGGATTTCCATTTTTAGTTGAACCATTCCGCCTTTCTTTGTGGCTGTTGCAATTGAAGCAGGAGCAGAAGCTGATTCTTTGGCTTTTCCTGTAAATAGAGCGTTAATGAAGACAGATGGGTCAGCAGTATAAACAAACCTCTATCTCGAGCTAGTTTTGTCCTGGCTTTGTTTCCCAATATAGTAAGCAAAGCACCAGCACCCCGGTTCCCATCCTATTAACGGTGTTTGCACTCCAAACGTTGAACTGGCTTCTAAGGAAGTTTAAATTAACACTGGGCTGTAGTTTTTCAAACGCTTGCAGCAGATGTTCAAGTGCCAGAACTCTTCCTTTCTCTTTGCTTTTTTAACCCCCCTAAAAACCGACAGATTTTGCTGGGTTTGGCTCAACGTGGTGCACAGCAAACGCTGAATGCAACCGTAGGTGAGCCAGGCTCTGAGGATGTTAATGCAAGAGGTTTCTCTTGTTCTAGGCTGCTGCAGGTTCTGCTCTGCTCTGCTCTCTGTCTAAGAAGGGCAGTGAGGAGAAGCTGGCCATAGGTTTTGGAAGGTGGTTGCTTTGGGAGGTGGTTTTCCTAAGTGACCTCAGGTCTGGGGAGGCTGAACCTCACGCTTTTGGCTCTTTGGCTTTGAACACCCACTGGCTTCGCAAGAGGTTATGTGTCCACAGCACCCAGGAATGCTTTCTTTCTCCTCAAGGACTCTCATTTGGGCACCCCCAAAGGGTGGCACAAGCCAGCAGCAGGCACTGCCAGGGAGCTGGGTGCTGGGCTTTGCTGCCAGAACAGTGCGAGGCTCTGCCCCTTCTCCCCAGCAGCCCATCTGCAGTGGTGGCAGGAAAAGCTCTAACACTCAAAAAGGCAGGAATCTGTATCCTCAGTCAGCTCTGCAGGGTGAGCCTGGAGCCCTGGGATCACACCCAAGCAAGGGATAAAACTCCGGGGAGAAACCTGTTTGAGGAATTCTAGTCCATGTGCAGAGAGCTAAGAGATGCGGATCATTTATGGGAACCTTAGACTTGCAAGCACCTTGTGAAACCTGGGATTGGTGCTGAGGGTTTGCACAGGAGAGGATACAGCTTCAAGGGCCAAGCAAGGAGCAACACATCTTGAAGTTCATGCTCTTCTGGAGACACTGTGTGTGGTGTTGGTCTAAGAGCAGCAATGCGAGACCAAAGCTCTCCCCTCAACCCCCTTACTGATGTGTTATCCAGCTTGTCCTCTCCTTGTCTCAATTGTTTCTGCTCCCACCCCTCTTCCTGTCCCATTCACACTGCCTGGGGTTTCATATAGCAAAAAGGGGCTCATGCTTCTTATACATCTTCAGTTAGAAACAGATGAAAGCAAAAATCCAAGTGATGCTGATTTTGGTGAGATGGGGTTGGTGCCTCCTTTAGTGGCATGAAATAAACCAGAGACGGATAGCTGGGTGGTGGGTGGGTGGGTGGATGGATGGAGGCATGGATGGATGGGTGCGTGGATGGATGGGTAGATAGGTGGATGGAAGGATGGATGGATGGATGGATGGATGGATGGATGGATGGATGGATGGATGGATGGATGGAAGGATGGATGGATGGATGGATGGATGGATGGATGGATGGATGGATGGATGGATGGAAGGATGGGTGGATGGATGGATGGATGGATGGATGGATGGATGGATGGATGGATGGATGGATGGATAGATGGATGGATGGATGGATGGAAAGATGGATGGATGGATGGATGGATGGATGGAAAGATAGATACTTCTATATTTTTTCAGACCTCTCTAAAATTGGTTTGTGCTTTCAAGATTGAAGTCAAGCAACTGGTGGCATGTTGATAGAAAATAGATTAGAAATAAGAGGAAGATCAATGCATGCTACTATTTAATGTGAAAAATCATTTTCTTTAGAAATAGTCACAGTACCAATGTGGATGGATAGAAGGAAGGAAGGGAAGGAAATGAAAACATGCAGTGGGATATTTATTCCGGGACTTCTGACATTCCCAGCACTACATCTTGGCAGCACTGGCTCTTGTCACACACTCACCATGTTCTTTGTGAGTGTTATATACACATGGACAGACACTTCTGAGCTCGTGGAACCAACCTTCGTTTGCTGCTTAGGGAAAGCTCTACAAAATAACTGCTCCCATTTGGTTTTGGTGCTATTTTGCCTCATCTCTGCCATCTAACTGCAGGAACGGCCAGCAAATGTCTCTGTGTAATGAGATTCAAAGGTAAGGTAAAGGTTTGCTCATAAAGCAAGCATGCAATGTTAACAGGCATACAAAATACCGTTCACAGTAGTTCTACTCGCAGGTTATGAACAGCATAAGTGCAGCTGATTCAAGGGATGCTCCGTTTTCTCCCAGAACAGCACAATAGGGGATGTGTCATGCTTTACAGTTTTCACCCCAAACTCTGGCTGAAGTCCCCTTCAATCACCAGCAGGGTCCTTGTTTCTTTACAAAAAAGTCACTAATATTAACATAAAAATGCTCTCTGAGCCCTAATTCTAGAAAACCAGCCCTGCTGTTTTTACTGATCTTGTATAAATTCACACCTGCAGGTTTACTAACTGCTAACACTACGTGCCTACCCACCTTTGGGTGCCGTAACGCACTGTATCTGCTCCATTACACAAATCTCTGGCTTTAAGAGAGTGTGAAAGCAGCCACTCTGCTTTGCTACGTGGTCACTTGAATGGGAACAGTGATTATGGGTGATTACAGTGGGTTATTGATGATTTTTAGGGCCTCTTCAGGCAGGTTGGCACTGTTCAGGAAAGGACAGTGGTGCAAAGAGCACTCTGCTCACATCACTGCCACGGGGCCGGTCGCGGAAAAGAGATGATAAAAGGCAATGTCGGATTATCTCCCTAATGCTGGATTATCACTCCTAACAAGGTGAATGGTTTGTCTTGGCAAATGGCTTCATAAGAATCATGGATAGTTTTGAAAGGAGCTGTGTGGTCACACTTCAACCGTTGGCTGCTGCAGTTCATGTCAGCAGAGCGAAACATCACACCTCTAACGAATTCCTTTAACGTGCCATTAAGCAGAGGCTGATTGCAGTGGGGAAGGCTCTGTGACAGTGTCAGTCACCCACAGGCTGTCACAGCCATAAAGCAATACAGCCCCACAGCAATCCTGCTATCAGGAAACAGGCAGCACGAGGGGAGACTGTGGAAGTCTACAATAAACTACACCACTGACCACTTAGAGCAGTGATACCCCTGCTAGAGAACTTACATGTTGGACAAGTGCTCCAGAATGCCATTATAAATCACTGCAGTGAGTGAACCACTCCATGAGCAAGGAAGAGAACGGTTACATGGTGTTTATGAATATCTAGAGGAGGAAAATAGATCAGCAACACCCATGTCTGTGCAGCACATCTCAACAGAAAGATTCCATGTAAAACAGGATCGGTACAAGGTTTTATCCAAGTAGGATTACACACAAGCACAAAAATAAAACATTCTGTATTCTACATTATGTTACAAAGGCAGGCGGTCAATAAATAGGTCAATAAATTATGGGAAGCACAGAAGAGTATGTGTGAAAATAGGTGAAACTGGCTTTCAGTTGGTGCACGATAAAGTCATTTGTGCTCATTCCCATGAAGCGCTCGAGTGATGCTTTCAAAGAGCCTTATCTCTTCCCGGGAAGATAGCTTTGTGAGCACCAGATGCAGGGCAGGGAGCGGGCTCTGGGACAGGCTGGAGGAGTCAGCGTCACTTGCACTTCCCCAAGAATCTGACAAATTTGCAGCTTAGTATAAATAAAGTGACGGGTCTATTGTTTCTGAGCTCCGACACCTCCTTATCTCCACCGCGGGTTGCAGAAGAGCGGTGGAAACATGGCATGTGACTCCATCCTATGGAGTTTAAAGGGGGGGGATGGCAATATCTTTATGAATTAACAACGTCAGCACATACATAAAGGAAAGATCCTCTCTATCTAGCTGGCACAAAGGGGTTTCCTCTTCTAGCTAGCTCGATGCAGACTAAATGCAATCCTACTTGGCCATGTGAATTGGGTTGCGGAGCTGTATCGGATGTGGTTTGCTGGGTTGGGAAGAGGGACAGGTTTCTTAGCTGGTATAAACTGGTATAGTTTCAAGGATTCGGGAAGTGTGCTGCAGTTATTTCTGCTCTGGAGATAGGGCATGGATAATGCAGCAAAACCAGTGCTTTACACAAGCGTCTTCTGTAACAACCACACACAAGGGAATTCTGCCATTGCCTGTCAGAGCACTGCATAAACCTATGGGGCCCATTGCTCCACCAGGAAAGATGGGAAAGGGAATGGTTCCCTTCTGCTCCAGATACCAGAGCATCCCTGCCAGTCTCAATGAGATAGGGAGAGATTAAAGACGCTTAAGAAAAAAGGAGCAAAGTTTAACACCTTTTTGTCCCTTTGGGGTTTGGGAGCTTGAGAATTATTGGGACTTGGGATCTTATCCTGGGTTCAATTCCCAAACCATGTCGATGAGGTCCTTATTGACATGGGTTAGTGGTTGCCTTAGCAGTGCCTGGGGATGGATGGACTGGATGATCTTAAAGGTCTTTTCCAACCTAGTTGATTCCATGATTCTATTCTATGCCCTTTAATAGCTCTGGAAATCCCTCTCAATACCAATCAGCATTTATTAAGTACAAAAATACGTTTTTATTTCTGTGAACTTGCATGTGCCCCTTTGGCACAAGGAACCTCCCAGACAACCCAGTGATCTGCTCTATGCCCTGCCAGGAAGTGAGATGCAGCCATAACATGGACAGTGAAGAACAGCAAGAAGCAATGGAACAAAATATACATTCCCTACGGTCACAACTTGCCCATTCCCCTACCAGGAAACACACAATTATCTGTACATGCCTCATTAAATAACCTTATTAAATAGGAAATCCAAAATGTACAAATTTACAGACTGAATCATTAAATACTCCCCACTGTGCACTCCCCTCTGCTCGAGCTCCCCTCTACTATCTGCAGCCACACTCTGATACCACCATGCCTTCGTATTTGAACTTGTAGGTGACCACCCCTGCATCTAAATAGAGGATAGAGATGGGATCGAGTTTGGTGGGCACACAGCAGGCCTTGGAGGCTTTCTGGGGATTCTTCAGGTGAACCAAAGTCTGGACAATGGCGTGTTTCGTTGGCGTGACGTGCTCTGTTAAGGGGTAGGCGCACACTCCATGGCACTCGTAAGCTTCGTAGCCCGCCGGGGCGATGATCCAGGAATCCCAACCTATTTCCTTGAAATCGATGTAGAGCGGGGTCTTTTTGCAGTAGTTGCCTTTTGCGTTCCTCCGGATTCGGGCAGTGGAGTCGTAAATGATGTTGGAGCGCATCTGGAGCAGCGCTTCCTCCCCAGGCTGGCCATGGAAGTTGCCAGCCTCCAGGTTCTCCAAGTCCAGGAGCTGCTCGTGGTCTATCATCTCGTTCAGCTCTTGCTTCTCCTCTTTCTTGTCATTGCTTTGGTCATCAGAGAACACAATCAACAGGGGCACGTGCTTTGCCTCGGAGTTGATGTCGATATCGAGCTTCCCTTCTCCGTTCTGCTCCTCCCCTTCCCTGCTCTCTATATGAACCTCCAGCCGGTGCGTGGTCAACCCTGCCCTTCGCCAGCGCCTGATGGCTTCGGTCACCTCGAAGCTCTCCCACTCACTGCTCGTGCCATAGATGTGCCTGGATGCCAGTGCCATTATCTTCCTCTCTTCTCCTACCCCCAGGTGGTCATTTTCCAGCACTTCAAAAATGGTGACTTTCCGGTCGAGCCCATCATAGAGCATCTGGTCCCGTTCCACCAAGGTGTAGAGCCGCAGCTCCGCCATGGTGATCTCTTCATGGTGAGGGATGGAAACATTGAATAGAAGAGGGTACTTCCGAATTCCTGTGACACCAATAGGGTGGGAAGCCAAGTCTGGAAATGACAAAGATCAAATATTTATGAAGGGTCATAAATGCACCCAGCAACACGTGCACAGAAGTTCAGTTGCTACCTTTTGCATGGCTTGGTTTCAGCTCATTCCAGGAGAGTGGATTTTACCCTCTCCCAAAATCAGACTTGGGAAAAGGGCTGACTTCCTTTTAGCTATGCAAGGACAGCAAGATCCCAACCATGCTAGAGAGCATAAACCTGGATTTACAGGTTCTCCTTCTATCCCCCTGCCTTCCAGGCATTTCCTTGTCACCTGGAAGCATTATGGATTAAGAATGCGTCGCCTAATACTGAAATACAAACTGCTTCATGGTCGCTGCACAGCAACTATTTTAAATGGGGAAAATCATTGCTGCAGAACAGGAAGGGAAGAGGGATATGGCATGAACATGAGATGGGTGACCTATAAACCGTGCATGCAAGAGCAGCAGGCTGGATCTGTGTCTGCTCAGCATGTTTGTGCTGAGCTGTTGAAACAGCCTTCAGAAACTGAGAGGGACAAGCGCTAAGGGAGGAAAAGTTGCTTTGGAAGATGTAAAGGTTCCTGGTTAGGAAGAGCAGGCGGTGAACGTCCCGTTTGAACCACCAGTCAGCACAAATCCTGCCACAGCCTCAACGGGCTTCAAGTGAGCAGTCAAACAGCTGTACTCAACCAGGCACTTTTGCCATATAAGTGTGTAATGACTGTTTGTCCATCAGGACATCTGCCCTATCTGCACTGTTTGTTTATGCACGAGCAGTATGCGTTTCTTCACACCAGGCAGGACTCAGCTCATCATAGAGCCCTGCAATGGGTCCCCCCTTGGAAGGGACCTTAAAGCTCATCCAGCTCCAACCCCTGCCACGGGCAGGGACACCTTCCACTGGAGCAGCTTGCTCCAAGCCCCTGTGTCCAACCTGGCCTTGGGCACTGCCAGGGATGGGGCAGCCACAGCTTCTCTGTTCAACCCATCCCAGTGTCCCATCACCCTCACAGGGAAGAGCTTCTGCCTAAGGGCTCATCTCAGTCTCCCCTCAGGCAGGTTAAAGCCATTCCCCTTGGCCTGTCCCTACAGGCCCTTGGCCAAAGCCCCTCTCCAGGTTTCTAATTTCTAGGGACTGTGTATTTGCTGCTGAGTTACTGCGCTCTCTGCTTCTAACTCAGGAGACAGATCAGGGCATAGGGACTATGGTAACATGTCTGCAAATGCAAACTGTTCATCTCTGACTTCTCCAATTTTGGTATGTTTGTAGGAAAATGATGCCGTTAACACTGCAAATATTGGCCATGCTCCAGGAGTGCAGTTGACTTTAGCACATTGTCCTGCTTGAGGCACCTCTGCACTGCCATCTGTTCGTAAATGAGGGGTGATTCTGCTTTCGCTTCCCTACAAGTCAGTTGGTAAAGGTGGGAGCTGGAGATGCTTTGCACAGCACCAGGGTAGGAGCAAACCATGAGCTGAGAGGCAATGCTGTTCAAGCTTAGCTGTAATCTCCATCCTGAAGGTAATCTCTGGGGTTTCCTAGACCTTGCTATGCTACAACAAGTCTGCAATGAGTACTTATAATGACAGGGTGGAGAAATGCCTCCTGGTCATATAGATAAGCCCAAGAAGCTCACCAGAAGGCAGTGGAAAGCTACATTATGTGTAAGAAGCCAGGTGAGCGCTAGCAGGGCATGGGAAGTGTTCAGTTCTAAGTCAGGATGTGACTCTGATCTTTAGCTAGGAAATCCATAGGGTGAAGTGTCTCCTACTGCTCCCAGTGCCTCCCTGGTAGGATCAGGAAGAGAGCTCTGGAGTCCATAGGAAATGAAAGATTTCCCTTGAGACCTTTATTCAAGTTTTAAGAACTGATTAGTCCCATTTAGAATGCAGACATTACGGGCCATGGGTTAAACAAAGAGCTGATGCCAGCCGTGCAGTGTGTTACAGCTCTATAATAAGGGATTTAATGGACAATGGAAGCACCATTACTGCCAATTTTCAGCAGGCAGGTGAACAAAAATGCTCCATGGTCTGTTTCTACTGCCTTTATCATTGCAAGTGATTAATTTCCCTATCTTTAGCATGAAGTGGATGGTTCTTGGTTACGCAGACTCCGAAGACATGTAACAAACATGCACAGTCCCTTTAACCGGGTGCTCCTATGAAGCTGTCTTAACATCAGCCGTCTGTCTCACTTCACCTCTTGCTGGTTTGCATTGGAAAAGGGGAGAGAAATACTGACATGACAGAGAGTGAAGCCAAGTGATGGCTACAGCAGGGCACAGAACTGTGAACCACTGCAAAAGGTCGGTCTGTCCCTTTCCAGACCTGCAAACCTGATTTTGTCAGTGGGATGATGCCTTGTGTCACTAAACCACGCTGTAGTTTATGTTTTAGCACCTTGTACTGGACCAGTTTTATCCCATTTACTTTTTATGGCTAGTGCACAATGGGAAAAGAACGATGCACGTTCCTGCATGTCTTCATTTATACCGATGAGCAGTGACAGGTAGGGCTGTTTGGGTGAGTAACTGCTCCCCAGTGGGTGTTAAGTGCTTTGCCACCAAGCCTTTAATAGATTTCTCTGCACTGGAGAAAAGAATACATAAAGAAGGTTTAAACCACATTTAAACCAGAAGCAGGCTGCTGGTAAAGCGTGCCCAGGCCTGGCAGGAGGGCAGAGCAGAGCTTTTGGATTCTCTCCTTGCACCTCACTGCATGACTTGCACGTAGCCTCTCCTTACAGGTCATAGCTTCAAATGGCAAATGCTATAGAAAGAGTAATAACAACCTTATACTTCATTATTTAGGCTAAGAAAGGATGAGAGAAGCCCCTCAGCAGTTTGAATAGCTACGTCTGCCCCTGAGTAGTTAAACCAAATCACAGCATTCGTGTTTGCCCAGTGGGGTGATTGGTATTTGGGGTTTAGTTGGAACACATCATTAACATAAAACCTGTATTGCTGCAAATAGGTATTGACAAACTGGAGTGTTAGCACTGAAACATTCTCTTGCCCTCATTGAGCTGAGAGGAAATGATGAAGCAGAAACAAGTCACAATCAGGCTTCCTTTTCTTGTAATAGGAAATATTCGACTCTCCCAAAGTAAAACCTAAGGGTTATCCAAAGTTCTGCTTCACGTGTTTCTATGTATCTGTGCTCAGATGCCAAAGGAAGATGTTACAAATCCCATGAGGATCAATAGTGAGGATATTAATAGAAACCTGTACTTGGTTAAGCTCATAATAGGAAAATACTGCACCTTTGAACAGTGTGTAAAACCATTTCTTAGGAAAATATTGCACCTGTAAATGGTGTGTCAAACCATTTCTTGCCTTAGTTTCGAACGTTATTTAAAGTATTCATTTGATATCATGTAATTGCAAACGATGCGTATCACTATGGGGATAATGGAACTGATGCCCTTGCATTATATCTGGTGCTGCCCAAACATTAAACAAACACCTTCCTCCAAAACCTTTCAGTCCCAAAAGTGAAGGATAAGGGATCTATGACACTAGGAGTGGGATCTGGTAACCCTGGTGCCTATTCCCAATGCCACCCTCATTGAAAGGCCTTTTTCCCCCTAATACGGTTCACGTTCCGTGCCCGGTGAACATATTTCACACCGACTATAAAGATGCTCTTTTCTATTTCCTTCTCCTAGAGATTGCACATTTCTTACCTTCGTTTTTGAAGCTCCTAATGATGTTGGCGGAGGGCATGGACGTCCTGTCAGTGGCAAACCTGTTGTACAGCTCGAGCATGTACTCTGGAGGATCCACCTTGGCCGATTCGTGCAGGGGAATGTCAGAGAGGTTCAAGGTCTTCAGGAACTCGTTCTTCATGTTCTGAAGCAGCGTGTTGAAATCAACGCCATCCTGCTCGGAGAGGATCTCGTCGAAAAGGGGCACGTCTTCCTCCAAGGAAGAGTGCTCCAAGCTCAGGATGGGACTGCAAGAGGCAAGGTGAACCAAGAGACAGAGGGCAGCCCACAGCCGGGGGACTAGAGAATCCATGGCTTCTCTGGAGCCTCCAACCGCACTCAACAAGCTCTAGCTCTCGTGCGGGCTAAGTGGCGGTTTTATCCCCTGTGCTCGTGTCACGACGGGATGACAAGTTTGGAAGCTCTTGTCTTGAAGCTTGTGATCCGTCCTGCCTGTCTCCCCCTTCCCCCTCCCCAAAAGCAGGTCTCGGTAATTGGATATGGCTTGCTCTCTCTGTGGTCGCCCTGCCTCTCTTATCTCGGGCCGTGTAAGCTGTCCACCAGATTTGTTGCTATCTCGCAATCCCCTTTCCCTTAATGAGGGTTTTGTAAACATTCTGCGCTAGGACACGCCGAGATAGGACAAGTTTCTTCTCGGAGAGGAGCTGCCCTTTCTCCCTGCCTCTGGGAGCCGGCTGCCGAACACCAACAGCTCCCATCCACGCGCGTTTTGAGCTCAGTTCTGTAGAGTCTCCATCTTAACGCACCAATTTCATGCAGTCGCTCCTTGAAGGTAACAACTCTGCCCTTTAAAAACCCATCTCCTAACTATTCCATGTTTCTATGATTTCAGAGCCAAGTCCTTACATTACGCTTACAGAAGTAAGGAAAAGCTCCGTTCCTCTTTGCCCGTACATAGGGAGAGGAGCTCTAGGTGCCACCACAATACTGGAGGTACAAGGCCCTGAATGCAGAGGAGCAAGGAGAGTTTCTCACATCACAACTATAAAGCTTTGCAATGGCTTTGCTGGAAAGAGCCCATTGAAGAGACATCAAATGCCAGCCAGGAGCATGGCCTGTAAAGCTGGGACTTCATTTTCCGTTATACAGGCACCATACACTGCACTGGCACCACGGTTTAGTGCTAAAGGATTTGTTAGCTCTTTTGCAGGGTTTATTTTTGCTATAAACCACTCTTCCCTGAGCTGAAGGTCAGCACCAGCTGGATGCGAGGGCTCAGTGCTGAGTGCCGTACAGATGCTCATAAACACAGAGAGAGCTGGAGCATTTGCAGTGGGTTCAGAAACTCCTTCCTTCTTCATCTGTGCGACTTGGCAGCTTGCAGTTATCCCTGATTTCACCTCTTTGGCAGTGCTGTGAGTATCTAAAAGCCCTTGAAAATACACAAAGGCCATAGGACTACTCTGACTTCACCTTCACATCAGTTCAAATAGCTCAGAGTTTCAACAGGGAAGTGATATTGCCAAAAAGATGTGCTACAATTCTTTAGTGGGCCCTTTTGCTTTGGTATGGAGATGTCCACAAGATGGGAGCACTGTGCATGCAAACATGTGTCTGGTTCTTGTATAACATGGTCCATTCCAGTGTTCTGGATCTACATAGAGGTTTTTGAATGCACCCTTGTTTTGGCAGCAGGGCCAGAGCTCAGCCTTTTCCATTATGGCTAAGCACATCCCTAGATTTGTTACTCCATCTGTGCAATTTTCTTCCCTTTTCAATAGCCCAAGTCTATCAGTGGCACAAAGGGACACAGATCCATCTAACTTAATGAGAATGATACCCAAGCCATGGTTTAAATTCATCCTCTATTTTTTGTCTTAAATAGCAATATCTTTGTGAGAATTCATGTATTGTTGCCATGGAGCCAGACATTGGCATGGCCTTTTAGTTGTTTTATTCAACTTTTCTTCTTCTGAGCATGGGGAGCTTGACAACAGAAGCCAAGTACTTTATCAAGGTCCCTGTTATCGATACACCACATTAGAAATAGATATTTGAGCTTAAGAAGATTAATTCAGACCTCACTGTGGAGTTCATGGTTATCTGTGCAAGTTTATCTATAAATCCTTCTGAAAGGCTCATCTTGGAATATTGTGGCATTCCAGAGCTAAGCACAGAAAACTTGGGGAAATTCTGGAATCAAGTTCAGGTCACTTCTGTTCATTAACTTGAAAAGAAAAGCAAGAGCTTCTTTTGGTGGTGATTCATCACCTGACTATGCAGAGCTAAGGTCCTTACGCCATAGGAAGTGAGATTAACATTATAACCATGAGAAAAGGCTTAGCCTTAACTCTTTCATGTAGTGTAATACTGGCTGCTATAAGGGAAAGTCTTCAGGATGGCTTGTCCCTTCCAGCTGTGGAGGTAGGAGATTTGTCATGAGAGCAATAATACCTGGAGAAGTGGTTTCCTTTGCTTAATGCTCAAATATCCATTCCAGAATGCTCTGGTTTCATGTATCTAAATGCAGATGAGGTTAAATGAAAGGGAGAAGCACATTGGAAAAGATACTGCTTGCTGGAGGGCAGGACATGCTGGAGCTTCTCAGGACTCACAGACATGGCCTTATCCTCAAGTCCTTGCTCATACCAGGTTTTCTTTCTCAGACAAGTACCAATAATGTCTTGTACAGGCAAGAGCTCACCAATATGCCTTGCAGAGCTGGCAAGCACTGGGATCTATGGCATTACATGGCTCCTCTCTGAGATTTTGGGGGTTTCTATGAGATTCAGAGCTGATGGGTTTGAATTTAAAAGGATTCCTTCAGCATTTGTGAGGCTCTGAGGTTTCTAGACGAGTCTCCTCTCACTGTGAGTGCACCGGCCCTTGATCAGACACTGAGTAAAACTCACCTCTGTGTTAACCTAGATGAACAGCTCTAGAGCCAGAGGAGCTTTTCATGTTCACTCCACTTTCCTGGCACTTAAAACTTAGCCTGCTGGGTGCGAACCAACAGCATTCCTGCTCCAGCAGTGACATACACAGCCCCAACGCTGCCTTGGAGCAGAGACTGGGCTCAGTGTGACCCCTCTAAGCTCTGCTACATCCAGATAGACTCTCTATGAATCTGTAATTTCACACCCTGCAGATATCAGTATGTAAAAAGTAGGATGTGTGCAGGAGTCCAACATGAATTTCCTACCCCACAAACGTCGTCTTGATCCAGAGGCTCATTAGGAACACTATTCCTGCTCAGACATTCCAACTGTCTTTGCATTTCCGCTCTCATTTTGATAACTCCTTGAACAATAGCATCCTGCAGGGCCACGCAGCCTCTGGGTTATACACAGCCCCAGTTCTGCTCAGTGCTCTAATTTACTCCATTCAGACCCTGCTGGGACCTGGCCCGATGAGGAATACCCATAGAGTACATCTGCTACAGAAGGAGCTTCCTGCTTCCTTAGGTTGGAGATTGATGAATTTCACACACATATTCCCCCCACCTAAATTTAATTGTTTCACAGAAGGGTTTTATTTCATGTCACTGAAATGCAGAGATTTGTCCTTTTATTCACACGCACAGTAAGTATCCGAGAAAGGAAACTGCTCTCAACAAATCTATGTTAAATGCATTACCTGAGGTAGCTGGAGAGGGAATATTAAGAAGCATCATTTTAATTCTTCTTAAATCTGTAGCATAAAGAGTGAGCCCATTCCCTTAGCGATGCACGAGTCAGGCAGAGCTGTACACAGGGCTCTTGGCTCTCAGTCCTAGGAAGTTTGTGCTCATTTCCCCTGTTAACCTGCAGCTGTATGTGGTGGAACAGAACTAATGAGAGCCTAAACCTTTGCACTGAACCTGCCAGTGGTTGGGAACAACACTCAGCACCTACAGAGCACTGTTTAATGGGTGTTTCACCCTCCCTGTCAGAGCTGGAGGTGGCACTACAGGTTGGATGCTCTCCATTCTTACACCATGGCAAGGACCGGAGGGGGAAAATCAGCTCAGAGAGCAAAGTGGGGCCTTTCCTACCGCCAGCACTAAGCAGATGGGGCAGGACCATGAGTGCAGCAGCTCCTGGGAACAGAAAGGGTCAGTCCTGAAGCTGGTGGGGCTCCAAAATAGCCTCTAATCTCAGGCACCCCACAACTTCCTCCAAGCCGATGCCTCCACGGCTTCTTCTGTCAAGAGGCAGCAGAAGAGCACAGGTTGGAGCAGGAATGTGTGAAGCAAGCTTGGTGCTGAAAGGCTGGGAAGCAAAGCAGGGCTTTATGAAGTGTCAAGGTCGACGATATACAAGATGGAAAGGGTGTGATGCTCCTCTGGGTGAGAGGAAACGGGGAGAAGGAATGCGAAGGGATTTGGAAGCATCCTCACCCTTCCTTAGCCTGGCTTTTGGGATGGAGGAACACCTGCTTTCACTAACACCCAGACTGGGATGGTGAACCTTTTCCAGGAGGAAATGCCTCAGCTTCCTGAACATGAATGGAAAGGAAGTTTGCCAGTTAGTTATAATGTCACGTATAAACTCAGGTGGAGCTTGGTTCGTGTACACCTTCACTGATTTAATTGAGATTTTAATGTTAGATTGTTATCACATCTTGGGCTTTTCTTATATCACAAAAAAGGTTTCTTTTTTATATGATCCTTTCTTCCTCCCCTTTTCCTCTGGTTGTTTTTGATGGATTCTGTTTAAAGAACCTCTCAGAAACACCACTGAGGAACCGCAAAGAGGTAAAGGTAGAGGAAAACGGAATTGTTCTTGGCTTAAATACAGAACCATTACCCAAAAGACAATATTCCTTGAAAATATATTCAAATAATAAGTAATCTATTGGAGGGGGAAATGATATCAGGATTTTGCCTGTCCTGCTCATTTCTATGTGAATATAAGGATCACAGGTAAAACTGTGGCTGGAAAGCGAAGGGAAGAGCATTTCATTTCGAATGTCACTGAGGAAGGACCCACACCAGGGGCTTTGGGGCACATTTCTCATCGATCTTCAAGCTGCAGCTCCAAATCCTCATGCTTAGGGCAGGTGAGACTGAAGGAAAGAGAAGAAAATCTATCAAATGACCTGCTCAAGGTAGCAGAGGACACGATAGCAGGGCCAGCAATCGCACTTCGATGCCCAGAACTCAAGATGCAGTGTCCTGCTTCACCACAAGAAACTATCCTATATCCTAGCCCATACCCTGTATCATATCTGATATTTGCATTATAGCACAAGGGAAGTTTTGTTTCTGTGCTAATCCTTTGAGAAAGAAAATGTCAAGCTTGAGGCTTTTCTATCTGAGACAGAGAGCTGTCACTCAGCCACAAGAGTGCCTTTGCCCATAAATAACATTAATAATGAAGAAAAGGATGTGTTCTAATGGAAGAACAGGAGCACCTTTAGTGATGTCAATCAGCGCTCAAACCCACTGAGATCAGTCTGAAATAAGCCCATATTTTTCCACTGTAAGGAGGTATCAGACATCTGTACCACAGCACTTGGATTGAACCTTAACATTTGGATTCAATCTCAACATTCCGATTGAATCTCAGCATTCCAATTGAATCTCAGCATTCCAATTGGATTGACATCAACACATCCTGTCGAGAAATCGTTAACTTCACAGTGGGCAGACCTGAAACCCCCTTCAAAAGCTGTGTAAATGGTTCAGTTCAAGGCTGCTCTCTAATCAGGACACCACAGGCGTATGTGCCATTCCAGGGAGGAAGGGGA